TGAATATAGGAAGTTTGGGAGGAGCAGCGTGGGATATATCTGTTTTCAGTTCGCCAGTTCAGCCTTTGTGAGGTGAGTCTTCTCACCATACCCATAGGTCTAAGGCACCAAGGCCGGCCCATTATGTGATTATGTTATATGTGTTGGTCATTATGTGATTTGATATGATATGTGATTTGTTATGATATGTGGTTGTGTGTTTTTGCATGGAAGACCCCGGGGGGAGCCCGTGGCATTGGATATGAGACCATGTGGGGTAGCCCATGGCATTCCTAGGTAAAGACCATGTGGGGGAGCCCATGACATTGGATGTAAGACCATGTGGGGTAGCCCATGGCAGTCCTAGGTAAAGACCATGTGGGGTAGCCCATGACATTCTTACAGGTTTTATGTATGCATGGCTTATGTGTTATGTGCTTAGCTTTGATTAGCTAACAGGATATGTGTATGTGTGTGGTATGCTTTGGGGGACTCACTAAGCATTTGCTTACAGTTTGTGGATTTGTTTCAGGTTCATCTGAACCCAAGGGCAAGGGCAAAGCTTGATGGCGCGGCGTGCACTCTCTCTCAGGAGATTTTATGGGACACTCTGATATTTGAAAATAAAGTTGTAATGAATATGGATTTGAAACAATTGTTTTGGAATTTCTTGATTTATGGAAATGTGTTTGGTTAATTAAAAATGAAAAAAATTTCTTTGAAAATCGGGTCGTTACACGTCTGTTGACCTAATGGCTGTTAGATGGCATCCATTAAGCCTCATCATGTGTTATGCCCATGAGGATAGAATGATCTTTCCCCCTTCTAACTCATTTTTAGAATATGTTTGATACCTTCAATCAAAATAAAGTTCAATCAAACCATCCCTAATCAGTAATCATCCAGTTGAGCTTTCAAACACCGGGTACCAATCATCTTCACCACCATAACGTGGAGTATGCAAAGTAAATTCTTTGACTTAGATGTTAATCATCACTATGATTTATATTCTTTTTTTCTCACCGTTGAATCTTTATTTGTAGAGCACCTATGGTTTTCTTTTATTTTCTTTTTCTTTTTGATTTTTATGTAAGGATAAGATAACATCTTCAACACAAAAATACATCATCGTGGGATGTTCACTTTGTTCCTAGGTAGAAGATACATTAACGGTCATGTAAACCGTTTTAATGTCATTGACATTGAGGACTTTTAAATGTATAATTAACCTTTATATGATGATAAAAGAACTAAGTTATAATGAAAGAAGCCTTATTCACTATCATTTCATGATTCCCCATGGCGATTTGGACTTTAGTCTTCTAGCTATAGGAAATTACAAAGATGTTATTGCTTTGTTTAAGTTTGTAGACAAACACATGGAAATCAGAGTTTACACAAAACATGGGACATCATATTGTCTAAGTGTGTTATTGAAAAATTAGAGATTCCTAAAGCATGAGACAATTCCAAAACTATTATTCTCATTTCTCAATAGTCATTTTAATGCTGAAAGTATTGGTATTTTGGTAGTGGTTTGGTAATTCTATTAGTAACGATTCTGATGAAGGGAAAGAAGATGCAATCGTGGAAACTCAATGAGGTTTGAAGATTGCTTATGTTTGATACTTTTATTTTAACTTGGTTGTTTATTGTACTTTGTTAATGATTTGTAGGTCAATTTTACAATGGTTTAAGGGTTTACTATGTCTTATGTTATGTAACTTTTAAATGAAAATGCGTTATTGATGTTTTGGTTAATGAAATGTTATATAAAGTGGTTATTGTTATTGTAATGTCCATTGTTGTGGTTTGATTTTATTGCAAATTGTCATAGTTATGGTAGGCTGAGTTCATGGTTTGTCAGTTGGCAATTGATTCTTGTTTGCTAGTTTACACCAATACATCAGTTGGTATGAGGGACCATTTACAATGATGTGTATTATAGGTGTATGTTTTTAGGTGATATATTTACGTTTAATTTATGAATTCACAACAATTGTCTTGGTTATAATATGTACATTCTTAGTTCATGGATTACCAATTAGCATGCTTTTATCCCATGGTCATGGTATGTTTAGTTCATTTATTGCTAGTTGGCAATTGGTATTTATATAGTTAGTTCATGTATTGCCAAAATTGTCGCATTTTCCCAACGTTGTAGGTATTCATGTGTGTTCCTAGTGTTTTTGTGCGAACTAAATTTATTATCAGTTATGCTACTTTTGTGTGTATTCTAGGTGTTTATGTGTTATTGATCCTTTATGTTATCAAAGACGAGTAACATGATGAATAATGAAGAAGGAAAAAAAAAGGAGATATAAAATGACCAAAATACCTTGATGTGAGATGCAATCTTAACAGTGGTTAGCCTAAAGGACTAAAGATGTAAAAAGAATATAAAATAGTGACTAAAACTGCAACAAATCAATCTTGTGGACTACACCTATAGGATTTTAGAAAACACAAATACCATTTCTATAATTTACTTTTAGTTTTACTTTCATATTGATCATCTATCTTCATCATATAACTCTTTAGTTTGACTTCAGTATTTTGTTCATTCATTTTTAGTTTTTAAAATTAAATAAATTATTAAAAAAAAGTAAATTCAAATAGATTAACCGATTTCATATCAAATCAGCAGCTTCTAATCTAGTTTATTTAATTAAATAAAATGATTGAACTGATCCATTCAATTGGTTGAAAATAACAATTATTTTTAATTGAACTTGATGGAATTAAGTGGATATTTAATTGACCAAAAAGCCCATGAATCTTGCTGCAAATATAAATTTCCACCCAACTTCTACCAAAAACAACAGCTGTTCTATGTGTGTAAGCAATAAGCTTTTCACATGTGTCCGTCCAATCCAACATCCTTTTCTGGAAGCTTTTCACATGCCTCCAATCCCCTTTCCGTTTTTGGTAGAAAGTAGGCATTGTACTATTATTCTTTCCTTTCTTTATTTAATTTTAAATGTTTTTTGTTCAGAAAAATATTATATGCATAAATATTGAGTTTTTATTTAATAATAAATAATTATTCTATTTTTCTGATATTAGTGGATAAGATTTTTTTTTTCTATGACTATTTTAAATGACAACAAGTTAATAAATATTTAAATAAAAGAATTTGGTAATTGTTTGAAATGTAAATTCTAAATAATAGCTTTCATGAATTAAGATCAAATCCAATTGATTGATGTTCAAATTCTGGTATTACTCCGTCTTTATGGTTATGGTGGTTTGTCTGTTGTGACTCCAGGACATGAGGCATAACCTCATGTTTGTAACGAGAATTAGTCGTTACGCAAAAGTTGACCCGAAACCCTGGTTAGGGAAGTTACCTTTTAAAAAAAATTAAGATCAAAATCTGTTCTTATGAATTTGTTATATAGCAAATAATGAAGGCTTATTGGAATTTGATATGAGCTATGATTTTTTACGAAATATTTAAATTAAAATATGTTTAATATAAATATGTATGTACTGTTTACCAATATCTATGTTGAATAATTATAAGTTCATAAATATAAAATCCTTAGATAATTCTTTTTTAGGGAAATGGATGACACACTTTGGCAAATGATATGGAAAGGAAAAAAAAAAGACAAATACAGTTATAATGATATGTGGTTTGCAATCATTTTTCATAAAATAATCATAAATATCACAGTGAAATTCCTGCAAAATCACTTTTGCAACAAAATTGAGTTGTTGAATGGTTCTAGTGAAAGGAAATTAGAAATAAGAAAGAAAGGAAAATTGGTGTTCTTAAGTTTTCGTAAAGGAAGCAGAAAAAAAATGAAATGGAAGGAAAACTTTCCCTAATTTTCATTTCAATTTGGAAGGCTTTGGAAAGAATAAAATGTTTAATATATATATATATATATATATATATATATATATATATATATATATATATATATATATATATATATATATATAAACATCTTTTCTAATTCGAAAACACAAAATATAATTTTGATACACTTTCTTTTCTCTTCTTTTCTCTTTCTACCTTCTTTCATATTCTTTTTTCTCTTTTGCTAAAACTCGTTTTTTTTCTTTTGCTAAAACTCGAAAACGACGTAAAACATATGTTTGTAATGCTAATATTCTTTTTTCTTGGCTTATACTTAATTTGCCCCTAAAAGCTAAAACCCAAAAGTATTTTTAAAATTTAAGTTGAGCTTTAGACTTTAGTGCAATGGATATGTAAATGTATTTATATTGATATTTAAATTCTATTTTGTATTAATAATATAATTAATAAACATGATTTTTATTGTTAATTAAACATGAATGAAATTAGAATCATGCAACTATACTCTAATCAATGTATTCTTATTTTTGTCTTCAAAAATTTTAGTAATATACTATTAAAAGAAATTTTCGATCGAAGGCCTCTTACAATTTGAGGTTCTATGCGACTGCACCACCCGCACACCCCAAAACTGTTACCGGTAAATACATAGTGGAAAAGAAATATTTTTATAGAAAGACATCTTATCTTCAAAATAACACTAACATTGAATACATTTTAACAAATATTTTATATAAAATTTTGTTTTAACTTTATAAATAATCAATACCGGATATGCATTATGAAAGCCCACTTAAAATAAATATAAAAGTTATCTTTCCTTTTTTGTATTAGTGAATTTTATTATAACTGGTAAGTTAAATAAATTAATAAATACATGTCTATTGATAAGTCTTTAAGATGTTTATAAATAGTATGAATAACTTTATAAAATATAAAGGTTTATATTTCAATAATACAAGATAACAAATGATAATATGACAATACTATGAACCTTTCATACTTATTATTTAAAAACAGTGAACTGTAGTTTAATTTGTCTGGTCTCACTCCTTTACAACATACCATTTGCAACAATTGACAAAAGTCAAAGAAATTGATGTGCACAAAATATTTTAATCTGCATGTGAAAAGTGATATGTAAAGCGACCCTTTAAAGACATGCTAGTCGCCTAATTGCCTCACACATCATCTCACAGTCTCATTCAGTCTCATTCATGACTCATTCAGTTGGTGTACGAAACTACTAATTTCAAATTCAATCTTCAAATTCATCTTCATTTTCCATTCTTTCAAGTTTCAAGACGCCATGACTACTAACACTAGGTTTCTGGGCTTATACATCACCATCTGTGTATTAGCTTTCATCATCTCAAAGATCACCATAGCTGTCCTCTGCTATTGCCGATGGCAGAAAAAACAGTTCGTCATCCAAGACACCTTTTCTGGTACGTCGTTCTTCTGTTTCTGTTGATTTTTTCTGTTTCGATTTTGACCTAATTTCACAGGTGGAAAGCTGGTACTGTTCAGATCACCTAAGATAAAAACCCTAAAATCGAATGTGTTCTTGAAGAAGACGATGAAACTCACCAACAAGGATCGAATCGGATCCGGAGGTTACGGAATGGTTTACAAATTGACAATTAACGAGTCAACGTCTTTTGCTGTGAAAAAGCTACGAAAAGAAACCGCAGAACACGATCGAGGATTTGAGAGAGAATTGGAAGCAATGGGAGATATAAAGCATCGTAACATTGTTACTCTTTATGGTTATTACAGCGCCCCCAATTTTAATCTCCTCATCTACGAGTTAATGCCTAATGGAAGCTTGGACGTCGTTCTTCATGGTACGAATTTCAACAGTTTTGACTTTTGAAGTTTGATAATTTTGACTTTAAAAGTCAAACTGTTTACGTTATTACAGGAAGAACAATGGAGAAGATGATTGTTCTAGATTGGGATGCAAGATACAAGATTGCATTAGGTGCTGCAAGGGGAATATCATATCTTCATCATGATTGTATCCCTCATATCATTCATAGAGACATCAAATCAAGCAATATTTTGTTGGATGAAAACATGGAAGCTAGGGTTTCTGATTTTGGGTTAGCCACATTGATAGATCAAGACAAGACCCACGTGTCCACTTTAGTAGCCGGTACTTTTGGTTACTTAGCCCCCGGTATGACCTCACTACATTGTAATAAAAACTTTATTGTCATTATCAGCGTTCCATACGTCAGCTAGACACTGTCTGATCTGTCTCCACATATTATAAATCATAATCATTGGCTAGACAGACACAGTCTCATCTGTCTCTATATATAACATCTATCTAATATGATTTAGAACAACGCAATCATTGGCTAGACACAGTCTTATCTGTCTGTATAAATAGTTTGTACGCAGTCATTGGCTAGACACAGTCTTATCTGTCTGTATAAATGGTTTGTTTTCAGAGTATTTTGATACGGGAAGAGCGACAACGAAAGGGGATGTATATAGTTTTGGTGTTGTTTTACTTGAGCTTTTAACTGGAAGAAAACCTACAGATGAATCATTTATCGAGGAGGGGACCCGCCTTGTGACATGGGTAAGTCTTTAAAAGTCAAAGCTTTGACTTTTTTTTATAGGGGTTTGACTTTTGAGTGATGTATTAATTGCAAAGTATGATGTTATAACAGGTGAAAACAGTTGTTGAAGACAAGAAAGAAGAATATGTTCTTGATGAAAGATTAGAGTGTTATCATGCGGATGAAATTAACCATGTATTTAATATAGCGTTAATGTGTTTAGAAACCGAGCCATCTAAAAGACCAAATATGTCTGAAGTTGTAAAGATGCTAGAAAATATTAAAACAGATAAAATTACATGTTCATAAATCATAAATTCGTTATTCTTTTTTTGGAAAGCATAAATATGTAATTTTTTTTCATGTTTATATAAGGAGTGAAGCTAAGCCATTGCTAATTGAAGCTTTTAAGGAAGGAGAAACAGGGTCACGTCCAAAGAACACATCAAAAAGAGATCGTGTCACGTTTTCTGATTCGATTGTAGCTTCTGAAGTCGATGGAATCCCTTCGTTTGATAGATGAATCTGTTCATGACATCATTTTATTTAAGTTGATCGATTATAATAATCCAAATTAGCGATTTTTCATCAAATAGACGTAGAAACGAACCAGAATTTTGGAGGAATCGAGCCAGGTTAAGAAGATGAAGGTTCCTTTCTTCAATGGCCGATTTTGAAAGATATCACGGAAATCGGAGAGAGCGGTTTCATCGATGGCGTTTGGTGATTTGATTCTGGGCGAAATGGCGTCGTTCAAGGCGTCCCAGAAGGTTTTTCCGTCGACGTCTCTGACAAGAACGATCTGTAGCGATTTCTCTAATGGAGCTTCATTTCATGGAAATCCTTAATCCTGTAAGTATTTTACGATTTTCACAAAAGTTCACGTAAGAAAACTGTGATTTACCTTGATAGATTAAGTCGAATAAAGAAGAATCGTCTTGGATCTGAGCTGATGTTCGTCCTTTCCATGCGTCTAACTTATCGATGATTTTAGGGTTTATGTATAGCCCTGCGGCGTACACCTTAACTCCGATTATCGCAAAAACCTTTTCTCGAAACCCTAGAGAGATTAAGCTTTAAGAGAGAGTGAGAGTTGAATATTTGCAAAAACTCAGAATTAGGGCATGAACCTGTTCCGATCAAAGAAAGCGAGCTCGAGCAACCAGGAAGATTCAACAATGTCGGAAATTTGACATTCGTAGCAGGCTCTTCAGCGTAATCTGATACAAATTCTATGATTTTACAGAGTAAGAAGCTTATGGAGAAGAAAGATACAATGATCGAAGTATGAAATTGGGGTAGTTAAACCTGAAGAAGAAGAAGCACCAGCAGCCTTGATGGAGAAGAAAGGAGGGTTGGTAGGGATGAACAGGGAGAAAATGAAATTGAAATTGCTTGATTTTCTTTCTGGAAAACGGATTCTGTTTCTAGGGTTTGAAATTGAATGTGGGGATCCGAAATTGTTATGGGGAAGAGGAAGAAGCGAAACTGATCTGGGAAAGGCTCCAATTCCTGTTGCAACTATCATCTCTTTGAGTGTTCTTGAATCAGTAAAAAAGCAAACTTCAAACCTCTCTGATTCTATCCACTTCACTGGGGCCAGACGCATGAAGCATGATGTGGATAACTTTAATCGGATATTTGTGATTATGATTTTCTGATTTTTGTTTTGATTTTTCTTTAAGCCCTACCTAAAAAAAGAACAAAATGTCATCAAACGATAGTGTAATTGTTAAAAGAAACAGGGGAAATGATCTGCTTTTAACAGAAATTTGAAATTTGCTCAAGATTGTATTTCGATGATTGAATTATATAGGTTACATTTGAAAATCTACAAAGTATATTCTTTGGAATTTGCAAATGAAACGAGAAGTCCAATTTGTTATTGTTGGAAAAACAATGATAATTCTTTTGGAAAATTAAACAATCCGTTGGCATTACACCAGCAATACAAATGAAGTCTATAATAACAGCCACGTTATAGACACTCTAATTCGTTATTTAGCCTAATATTAGTGGACTTTTCAAGGACACAAATTTTGATTTTTGTTAGGCCTTCGTATCAGCCTATTTAGTCGACTTTTCATGAGCCTATAAACAATAAACTAAGACAACATTCCGGTCACTATTCAATTTTCCAATATATAACATTATTATACATATTAAATGTGGATGCGGGCATGCGGATTGTGAACAGTGTCGGTATCCAACCGTGTTATTCTTGGCTTGGCTTGATTTCGGTTGGGTTTCCTTCGCTTCATTTTTCAGCTGGATACGTGTTTGCTTTTCAGTTGTGCTTCGTGTGTTTCTTTTACTAGGTACATGGTGAACTTTTATTTTCTCCACCTGATTTTTGTTGGGGATGACTATCTCCTCCACGATTTTGCATCAACCGAAGAATCCTTCTCCAACTATTCTAATCCTCAAATCTCTGTCGGGTTCCGTTTTGCTCTCATTCATGGAGGTTTTTCGCCGGATTCCATCACCGTTGTTACCCTCTAGTGCGTCTGTTCAACAAACCCTCGAATTTTCGTCGCAGACAAAGTGGTGTAGAAGCGAACATCTCATTCGAGAGAAAGACAACCCTAAGTATCAATTTATTCAAATCAAAGGTCAATTACTCGGTAATTATTATACATATTAATTTTGGATCTCCAAATCGCCGGTAGGTATTGTCTACAACATATTTTCCTCTTCATTGTTCATCATTGATTTTGTGTTGCCTACCAATCGACCTCTCCACCCCATCGTCTCAATCAGGTTCTAAGTCGGATATGTTTTCGTTTTTTTGTGTTCCTTTCAGTTGTGATGAAGGAAGTTGTGGTACATCTCAAAGAGGTTGCATCGAACAAGGAGCCGAACACCAATTTCGGTCGACGATTGTGGATTCCTCAATTGTTTTTCTCCCTTCTGTACATGTTCTTGTCTTTTTAATCTTCTTTTGAGTTTTGAACAATTAAACCTTATTTAATTGCATTCATTTTACATGAAGATTCACTAATACACCTCCGACTTCCTAATTTCCCAAATATGATTGGTGCTTAAACGGAGATAATGAAAGAGGATGTGAATCGAAACTAAACCTATTGGCTAATATAACAAATTGTGTGTTTTCTCTTTCCCTGTTTTGAGTTTGTTCTTAGATTAATACATTCTTTTTCTTTTTTAAAGTTTTAATTATATGTGTGACTTCTTCCTGAAGAAGTTGGATTCGGGGGTAAACCTAATTCTAAGATCACTCTTCCTTCTGTTGGGGTTTTTTTTATTCAAAATATGTTTAAAAAACAAGAGATTTAGCAATGGAAGACTTGAATATTTTGATCAACATAAAACTAGTTTATAACCCACCAAAGATCTTCTTGCATGGTTTGGAAAAAAAACAAACAAAGAAGAAAAAGAAGAAGATAACAACCTTTGTAGTCTTTGAATCCTCAGGGGGGCTTGGAAGTTGTAAAAGAATAAATAAACATTTGAGACACCAATAATAATCCAACTTGATTTAAGATGCTAGTCTTGTAAAACTCTTAAACTCTTAAGCTTTAAGTTCATATCAAGATAAGAACTTCAAGAGAGCATTAAGAAACAAGTTTTCTTTCAAGAGATAAACAAGAGAGAGAGAGAGAGAGAGAGAATTAAGATGCATTGTATATTTTTTTTACTAGTTCAAACAAAAGCTAAATGCTAGTCTTTTAACTGTGACAACCGTCAAATTCTGGTCAAGTCAAAGTCAAATAAAGTCAACAAGTCAAACCGGTCAACTCTACTAACTCTTGTATACTAGGGTTTACGTTATGTAATTATTGTACAATTCGCTATTTTAATAAGAAGTCATCACTTGGAAAGTTCGTATGTGCAGGATTCTTGAGCCCTAATCGGGGTAAGTGATGTAGCAAAGCGATAAAACACTATTACATACCCTTCGGGGGTGTGTAAGACTCTTAAACATGGCTTAACGGGGTTTACGGACCTTGCGTTACAAAGCCAAACACTCAAAAAGGTCACAAAAGAAGTCTCTCCCAATCTCTTTCACTCTATCTCTCCCTATCTGAAATCTCTCCCAAATCTCTCCAAGTATCTGAAATCTCTCCCAAATCTCTCCAAGTATCTGAAATCTCTCCCAAATCTCTCCAAGTATCTGAAATCTCTCTCAAATCTCTCCAAGTATGTCAAATCTCTCCAAGTATGTCAAATCTCTCCCAAATCTCTCTAAGTATGCCAAATCTCTCCAAGTATGTCAAATCTCTCCCAAATCTCTCTAAGTATGCCAAATCTCTCCAAGTATGTCAAATCTCTCCCAAATCTCTATAAGTATGCCAAATCTCTCCAAGTATGTCAAATCTCTCCCAAATCTCTCTAAGTATGCCAAATCTCTCCAAGTATGTCAAATCTCTCCCAAATCTCTCTCAAAATCTCTCTCAACTTCTTATAATCACTCGGGGCATCCCGACCCTTAATTTAGTCGAAAACCGCTCGAAAACGGAAATTTACGCGAAAAACAGCCTTAAGGAGCCGAACCCTCTTAAGGAGTCGAACCCTCTTAGGAACCGAACCTCCCTTAAGGAAGCGAAACCTCTTGAGAACCGAAACTACCTTCCTGAATCGAACCTACTAAGAAACCGAACTTGACCTTCGGTCCGAGAAAGCTACCTTCGGTCCGAGAATACACCTTCGGTTCCGAGATGCGAAGCTGCTCAAGACCGAACCCTACTCTCGGTTCCCATCTACTTTCTGTTCTAGTGGCTAGGACCGAACCTCCGACCCTGAATTTCGGAAATTGACAACTTTTACCCGATTTTCAATATTTTTAGCGTTTTGAGCCCGTTTTTCGTGATTTTAACGCGAGATTTTCACCCAAACTTATATTTTGACATATAAGACCCCATATTTCCATAATCTAATCACATTATTAGGGAAATCTTTACTTAGGAATAAAATATAGTGTGTATGGTTTAGAAGTGGAGTGTTGACTTTGCCTTAGTGTATGACACAAGCAACCACCCCATACCCACTCAATGACCAGCCCTTGTCCTTCCACCATACCTGGTCATTTCATTGTCGTTTCCCACCATTTTTCCAGCCACACTCTTGGTCAAAGGCTAGGAAACCCTTACCCCTCCTCACATTTCTCTCATTTCTCTCATTCTTCACCAAAGAACAAACTCCATTCTCTCTCACTTCTCTCTCTAAATTTCGAGATTTCAAGGCTGAATTTCAAGTTCTTCATCTACTTTTGGTAAGTAATATTATCCTTCATATGATTATTCCACCTCTTTCTACTCAAATCATAGGTTGCATACACAAACTTCATCATATTTGTGTTAGTTCTTCGAATCTTCAAGCAACCTTCTAAGTGTTCTTGAGTTGAACACTACCTTTCTTCAACATCCACCCACTGAAATCACACAAGGTGAGTTCATACCCCTATCTTTTCATGTTTTTCTTAAGTTTTAAAGGGGGGAATACAAGTTAAAACACCAAGAACACAACTAAACTCACCCAACAGCTTTCATCAGAAAAGTTTAACTCCATTCACGGACTGTTTTGGTCAACTTAAACATTTTAGTTTTCAAAACTGTATTAGGTGCAAATAGTTCAAGTTCATACCTTTAAAATGACTATTTGCACATAACCATACGATTTTTCTACAATTTATGGTGATTTTTGACAAACTACCTATCATTTCAAGAACAAATCCGGACCAGTCTGTGAATATTGGCTTTTTCACACAAGTGGGAAGTCACTAAAAATCATAATAAAATTTATGAACAAACTAGACACATTTTCTAAACTCTCAGAATTTACAGATTCTGATTTGGACTTTTGATGATTTTTCTATAAATCTTCTAAGAATAGGAATAGAAATGTTAACACTAGAAAAATGTTATCTATTTCATTCACACCTTGTAACTTGTCGAGCAAGGTGTGTATCATTATGTGCATATATGTGTTATATTATATGTCATTTTTTCTTGGTAAATAGACATACAACAGAAAACAAATGGATTTTTACCTCCACAAAGATGGTAATTTATTTAAAATAAACAAAGGTTATATTCATTGCATTCAAACATTTTGATAAACTATTGTAAGTATAGTTTATGTTCACTACTACTATTATCATTTGATAAACTATAATAGGTATAGTTTATGATGCACTACACAACAAGTTCATTACTAAAGGTTCCATTTATACAAAAAGGGTTTTCATTCACTTCACGTAAATTCGTTAATGACTAAATTGTGAGACATTCGCTTCATGTTACTTTTCAAGTAATGCACTCTAAGTCCTGTATTGTAACCAGAGTCTCTTTGAGGGAGAGCGTGATAGTTATGTATAGATCTACATTGGGATTGACACCCCACACCTTGTTGTTAGCTACAGTAGGACCTCGAGGTCTACGGGTGACAAATGTCATAACATTTCCGACGCCTGAAGAACGTCGTTTCAGGCCATCCAGGTCATAGTATGGTTATAATAACTCACATAAAGTATTAACAACTCATAGGAATTACGAGAATTTCATTAAATCAAACGAGTTTATGTCAATTTAAACTTGCATTGTTTTACTATAAGTATGGAAATTACTTGCACATTTTGGTCTTTGGATTTAAGGCTGCAATTCACACTCTAAGGAAAATATTGGATTTTTCTGGAACAAACATTACTCTTACAAAGGAAAAGGTTTTCATCACTACATTCAAAAGCTTATGAACTCACCAACTTAATTGTTGACACTCTTTCAAACTACTTGTATTATCAGGGAATAAATAATCAGGTAAACAAGCGCTTTTGAGGATGGTACGTTAAGGCGTCAA